ATGATTATTATTATTATTTCTGTTAAATAATATATAGAATTCACAAAAGTGCCTGCATTACAAGAATTCTGCATTCACCCATGAATGAATTGGTGGCACTAGAATGTTCTGAAAACAGCAGTATAGGAAAATTTAGGTGGTTGATTCAAACTGTTTCAAAAACAATGCTGTACTTCAAGACATCTTTCACCCTAAAATAAAAAGACTACTATGTGTAGTGATATAGAAATGGAAATGCAAGGCTTGGAAAAGGAAGATAGGATGTCCATGCTATATAAAGAAATCTGGTTTTTGTTGGGTTGGAATAAGCACTCCTAGCCATGATTTGAAAAATAATAATACTAAAAAATCTTATTTTCTCTTGCAGTATGTAACATCCATGCTGAAATTGTTTTCCTCATTGATGGTTCCAGAAGTATTCCCGAAAAAGCTTTTAGGAATGTGACAGTCTTCTTGACAAAACTGGTTGATTTGATTGGTTTTAAGGACAACATAAAATTTGGAATGGCCCAATTTAGTGATTCGTACACTGAAGAATTGCCTCTGGGTCATTATCAAAACAAATCAGAACTTAAGGAAAAAATTTTGAATGTTTCAATGCAGGTAGGGCAGCAAACATACATTGGAAAAGGTCTTAAAGAAGTAAAAGCCTTCTTCAAATCACCAAAACGCAGAGTGGCTCGAAATGTGCACCAAAAGTTGCTGGTAATTTCTGATGGAAATTCAAGTGACAACTTTATTCAATCAGCGGAAGACCTGAGAAGGGAAGGCGTTGAGATATATGCAGTTGGAGTGGGAAATATTCTACGTGCAAAACTTCAACAGATGACTGTTTCCCCAGAGAGGATATACACTGCAGCTAATTACAATGAACTGCCCAATATTACGAAGCGCATAACAGAGGGAATATGTATAGAGGATGATAAATCAAGTAAGTTGAGTTCAATTTTTTAAAATCCATTTTGGTTTGTGTGTAAGAAAAATAGATTTCTGTTATTCATATTTTAAGGTCATGCAAAAAGCCATTGACTCTACTTAGCATCCTGGTTGATGATTTGGACCTGAACTCATTTCAAACCAAATCAATCCAAGCCTAAACCAAAAAACAAAACAAAACAAAAAGATTTGTCTACTTGGACCACCAATCCTTCTCCTATACCATGTTTTTGTTCTTGTACATGTCTGCATAAGATTTGGAGTCACATCCTAAAGTGGAGATTAACCAATTTCAGAGAGGTAACTCAAGTGATTTTATGCTAGCTAGCTACTATAAACTTTTTTTTTTAAATCAGTTTTCAAAAACTGTTTTTAACTTTGTAGTTTTGGCTCTTAATTTCACTCTGCTTTTGACCTGTTTCCCCACCTCCACAAGAGCAGCAGTCTCCTATGTTTGTTAAAGTTTAACTAAGATACAATATATTTTAAATTTAATGCCAAGAATGCACTCAAAAGATAAGTGCTATTTTCCCTTATTCTACCAGCAAACCTTGTATAAGTCATTATGTAATGCAAAAGAATAGCCTGTCACTTCAGTAGGGTCTCTGGATCTGGGGTGGTAGTTTTTCCATGGCACCACATGTTTTGCAAAAAAAAAAAGCAAATTGTGGCATACAAAATTTATTAAATGGTGATAACATGCACGTCAGTGTACCCATGTGCATGTTGCCACCATTTCAGGTTTTGACCACAATGACCCATGGTTGGTTGAAACCACAGATAAGGAGCCTATGGATTAGGCGGGCTACTGTATTCTCTTGTACATTTTTAGCAATATGTTCTGGATGTAGCATGGTCAAATTTGCATGCAGCTAAATTATATCATGCATCTTACCATCGACTGGATCACTAAAGACAAAGGCAGGCATGTTCATATTTAAATATTTTCTCACTTTAAAAAAATTGAAAGTTAACTCTTGCATGTATACAGCCTTCATGAGAATGCAATACAATAGTTATAGCAGTGGTTCTTAACTTGTG